TCTCCATCCTACTGCTCCAGTTTTATCTTCCATGATATCCCAACATGCACATTATTTTGGCCAAATGAAGCTTCTTGTATGTCTATAAATTAGCCAAGTTCTTTCTTCTTCTTCTTCTTCTTTTTTTTTTTTTTAGAGATTCTTGCCATAGGGCATGTGCACTTGCAGGAGAGACAAAAAGCGGGAAATTACCTCATAGGAGGATGGCCCATCGCCATCCTTTCTCCTCCATTCTCCTCTTGAGATTTTGGGTGCACACACATGGGTACCCAGCATGAGTTTTAAGCTCCCAGGTCCAGGACTCAAACTGCGATCATCTATGTGGGAGTCCAGTGACATACTCATTACACCATCTGCTGGTTCCCTAGCCAAGTTTTTAAATGTGCTTCCACTGCTCATCTGTCTAAAATATCTTGTCCTTCAGATTCAACTCAGACTATCCGAGAAGACAACTTTTCATGGCCACTATCACCCCCATGCAGCCCAGATACTCTCCTCCTGGCTCATGTGGCAGGATCCATAACTATAGGATAGCAAGGTTCACTCTGCATTGCGCTGTTTGGCTAACCTACTGATTTCCTTGGCTTCAAAAACTGTATTTTGTCTATGGTCTTAGAACCTGGTCAAATACCCAATACAGAGGAAGAGCTGACATCCAATTTCTGTTATATTGAAAACACAATCACTAGAGAAGTTTTCCAAAATTTAAATAAAAAATATGACCCCAACAACATAATGATAAGAGGATTCAAGCTGTTGACTCGTCCAGACTCATTATGCCACTTTTTATATTTCATTGTTATATTTCTTTCTGAATACATTTGCCTCTACATTTCAGACTGTCTCATTTCTTTGTCATATGTTTTAACTGCCCTTCACACTTAATGGTAATTAGTACTATCTGTTCCCACAGGTTGCAGCTGATAAAAGCCAGCTTATGAGTAATGGGCCATACTCCAATGTCAGGAAACTAAAAACTAAAAGCATTTACATCATAAAGCTCATTCATTGTAATATGAGGAAAGAGTAAGATGACCCAAAATAATCACAAAGAATAACAGCTCTTGGTACAAAGAGACTGTCAAGTCATCACAAGAATGGGAGAAAGTTAGTGTCACTGGAGTAATAGTTTAAAACCTGTACTGATGAGTAGACTGTGTCTATAAAAGAAAAAGTTAAGATTTATAAAATATTCTATTCCCCAAATCTACAACCACATTTTGGTAAATAATTTAAAATAGGCCTGAAGATCAATCACTTCTTTGTATGACTTCCACAATCATTTTTCTTTCTAATAGGAATCTGAAGATTATTTTTCCATGTATGTGGGTCTCTGCATGAGAGGCCCTATATTAGCATTTATGGACTAAAAATCCATATAGTTTTACCCTGATCAATAGTAAAGTCTAGGAGCAAATGCAGTTGTCCAGTTTTTTGTTTGTTTGTTTGTTTTTTAGGTATTTGTCATAGGACAAGTGCACACACCAGAGAGAAGAAAATGAGAAATCACCCTCTTGGGGAGGATGGCCACGCACACCTCAGTTTCTTTTCCATTTTCCTCTCAGGATTCTGGGCATGCAGGCACACATATTTGGTGATTTTTTCAAGCCTCTGGGTCCAAGACTCGAACCAGAGTTGGCTATGTGAGAGTCTAGGTCCTTAACCAACATGCCACCTGCTGGCCCCATAGTTGTCCAGTTTTATCTACTAATTCTGGTCCTAAGAAGCTTTAATACCCTTGGAGCTTCTCACATTGTATGTCAAATCCTGACCCCTCTTTTTCTCTCCCCCTTTTTTAAAAGAATAATCTGCGATTGGCCTTTTTGACGATTAAACATGTCTAAAAACACCAATATTACCATTGGGCCCTATAGACTCTGAAATTGAAAGCAACTATATAAGAATGTTTCAGAAAGTTTCTGGAGAAATATAACTAAAGTGAACTCATTTTGGTTTAAAAAAAATTTTTTGAATCCGTGCACAGTTTTTTCATAATACACACTTTCCATGAACTTTTTGAAGACTCCACATCCAGTTCCCTTGGACTTCAAAGTACTAATCCAATGTATTTTTCCCCCTTTCATTAATGTCAATAGATGCCAAAATATATGTGCATCTTCTGAGAGAAGATGAAGGTCAAGGAGTTACATTAAAATTGCTAGAGAGAGAAGCCTTATTAATTGATGTCTTCTTGGGAGATGGACACTTGCTCTGGTTACCTACATGGCATATGTCAAGTAAATCACAGTAAAGCAAATGATCTTTCAGGTAAAAAATAATTTTTATAAAGCTACCTTTGCCTTACTCACCTCTAACAATTTTTTTCTGACTGCCAGCTCTGCAGAGACCATTTGAGACTTAGTCTCTGCTTACCAAGAGATACCTAACATGCATGTTCCTCTCTCGCTATTCTGAGTCAAATCAGCCTAACGTGATAGGACTGGAGGGCCGTTATTGACTCTAGAAGCACTCTTTGAATGGTAGAAGAAGCAATTTCTGCAATGGGTATCCACTGACATCTCACATGCAGGCATTTTGTAGGGGATTCAGAATAAAACCAACAGATCCTCTTCCTCCTTTAAAGTACTTTTTTTTTTTTCTCCTTAGGTCAAAACCTAGAAAATTAAAGTGCTGAACTAAAATCTCTAATAGAAAATTTAAGTCTTTAGAATATTTTAATGACATTAATATCTCCTAAAAGCCTAAAAATATTTCCTTAAAATGAGTTAAGAGAAAATGACATTTTCTTTAATCAGGTCCAAGGACTTAAAAGTCCTGCTCTAAGAAATGACCTCCCTGACATTGAAAATAAGAAATTAAGAGCTCAAGTGGCCTCCCCCAACCCCAAATGCTGCCTTCTATCTATAATGAATAAATCAAAAGGTGCCAACTCCCTCTATGGCAATTACTTTCAGAGGCATTACTTCCAGAGTGGATTAATGTGATTGTGGGTAGTAACAGTATAGGATGTTGTCAATCCTCTTTGGTTCCACACCCACCTCCCTGTGAATGGAATCATGTTCCTATCCCCATGAGGTCTTCTCTTTACAGTTATTCATGCATTGATCTGGGTTTTCTGTCACCCTTCCAGAAGAACACAGGGTTCAGCCCCCTCCCCACAATTGCTGCTGTCTAAGAGGTGTGACAGCTTGAAGACCTCTAGAGAAAAGATACCAAGAGTTACACAGGGCATCTCTCAGTCCAAAGTGGTAATGGGAACAAGAGCCTTCTCTACCTTGCAGGTCAGCTTTGGTCAACGCAACTTTGTTAGCAAAAGAACAGAAAAAGCGAAAACAATAACCAGAGGTTAGTAAGAGGTAGAGTAAACCAGGGTAACATTACAGAAATGAAAATGCAATCTGCATAACCAACATCACTCAGACAGACAACTGAAATGCTCTACAGGTTCACCAGACAGCACAGACAGGGGACGCGCAGACCAGGGGCGGAGCAGGCTTCCTCGGAGCCAAATCAGCAGAGCGGGGGCAAGGAGATATTGGACTTGACAAAGCACAAGCAATGGGCAACAAGAGCCTTCCCACATCCACACAGCCAATCCCAAGGCATATGGTCCAGAAAGAAGGGTAGTGCATGGCCAGACTGAAGGACATGTGTGCACAATCAGATGGAGCCCACAATAATCACTCTGAACACGTAGGTGTTAGCATAGAAGAGTCACTTGGGTACACCCCTTGCACCCTCCTACAAATGCCACTAAGGAATATGGCACTATAATTGGGCATTTGTATCAAGATGATTTGAAACATCAAAGAACTCAATTTGTTTAATTTAAAAAAGACAGCCAAACTCAAATGGTTGTGGGCAAAAAGGCACCAAACCAATGTCCTTTTTATTTATTCATGGCAGTCTCAAAATGAAGCACATGTGTTTCTCTCAGATGTTTACCATCTGCAACTGTGGAACAGCACTTTTAGCTGGTAGTGCCTTGGTCTCTGCAGCAAAGTTGGCCTCAAGATAAAAAGAGATATTTACCAGCCAAGTATTAAATCATGCATTATTTGTTTTAAATCTTCATCTGAATTGAGATGTAGCAAGTCACAGCTAAACACAGGCTAGTTATCCAAAAATTGCACTTTATATATAAATTATATACTCTGTGAACATTAGAGACATGAAATTAAAATCTAGCTTAAGATTTTTGTTTTCTTTTTTTGCTACAAACAATTGAGAGCCAAAAAGTAGGGGATTCAAATATTTTCAATATGATTTTGGACTCTTCTGCCTTTTATTTTCTCTGTTGTCATGGCTCATATATAATACGGAAAAAAATACATTTACTAGTTAGGGCCTTCAAGTGTCATTGTCAATCATTGCTGACAAAAACGTATCATTTATCCTGGCCTGTGTATTCCAAAAACATGAAAATAAAACACATTGAAGAGATCTAGGTCTTAGCTCTTAGTAATGAAACCTCATGCCCTGCCTGTTCATTATTTATATTCATGGTAATAATAAATCAAGAAACATGTTTTGTTTCCTATGGTTCCCATACTGCCTAAGACACAGAGACCTCCTTAGAGGTTACATATTATGGACAAAAGATTCGTACGGGGGATAATGCCTTGTTCTCTCATCAAGGTACTGTGCCCTTCATTTTCCTCCCTACCCTCTTCTACAGCTTCATTTCCACAGAACCCTAAAAAGCTCCTGGGATCTCTTACAATGGCTTATTCACAATGGTACAAACTTCCAATGACAGTAATTTATGCCTTAACCCACTTTTTGGCCATTTTTCCTGGCCACTTAGGCTAATTATCCAAGTCATTTGTGTACAATAAACAAGGACTTTCTTCCCTCAGCACTCATCCTCTACTTCTCCCTACCCAGTGGGGGTGGTCATAATGCGTGATGGGTAACCATCGTAATTATCTCCATGGCAATAGAGTGCAGTGCTATTAGGCCTGTGGGACTTGTCATAGATTTGGATGGTAGAGCCATCAAGTCACAATATCCGGCTTTGAACAATCCCCCATGCTCAGAGGAGGATGGCAACCCACCACAATGCATGTGACGAGTCATACAAACCACACATGGAGCCATCGGTAGAGATGGGAACAATATTTCCAATCTGATGGGTAATTTTCTTTTGCAAGTGCTCTCACTGCTTCAGTTAAAACTCCGGTGGTGTCTTTTCCCTCCTTTATACATTAAATTTTAGTTCACTTTTATAAAACATACACATCTTTTTAATCCAATACTATAGCTTTATTTCTTTGTGCCCCCATTTCCATACGCTGTAGAGCTGTGCTTCTAATATAGCAGTTGCATACACACATGTGCTATTGAGTACTTTCAATGTGTGTAGTTGGAAGTGAAGAGGGCTGTGAAGAAGTATAAAGCACACCACCGATTTTAAAAGCTTAGTATGAGTAGAAATAGAAAATACCTTATTGATAATTTTACATTGATTATATGCTGAAAAGATACTATTTTCAACATACTGAGTTATGTAAAATAAAATATAAAATTAATTTTATCTGTTAATTTGTATCTTTTGGAAATGTAGCTACTAGGAAATTTAAAATTACATATGTGACTTACGTTATATTTCTATTGGGCAACATTGCTGCAGAGTTAAATGAATGATTTCTGTTAACTTTTAAGTTTGAAGACTAGAACAATAAAAATACTTAGCATGTGAACAGTGTCTTATGCTTTTTAAAATGTACTTTTAGATTGTGAGTTAACTTGACATGATGAATTATACCAAGATAACTGGGATTGCTGTCATTCTACAATCTTTTAAACTAAGATACTCAATTTAATTCTAAAATACTGCATCTATCTCAGGATTGTCCTTTAACACCTGAAAGGATTAAGAGCAGACTGATGTGACAAAAATTCTTAACTTGAATGAAATTTTGCATTTCCAGGAGAAGAACACAAAATGGTTACTTTAAGTGATTGGTGATTCCCAAACATCTATCCTGACACACACACACACTCACTCACACACACACACACACACACACACACACACACACCATGTTTGGCCAATAGATCTTAAGAGACATTTCTAGCTAACAGGAAAACGGAATGGGTTATAGGGTTGATCTGTCTCATTATTAGGGGAACATAGGCAAAGGGAAATGACTTCCATAACTATAACTCAGCCTGGGAAACTTTTATAAAAACCTGCTTTAAGGTAGTGAGCAACCCATCAGATAAAAGCTGACTAAGAACAGGAGCAATACATGAAGCTGAACAAAGGACAGGGATGAATGGATCTGATGTGATAAATTAACAAGAAATACAAGAAAACACAGTACTCTGCACAAACAAAGGACCACAAGGCTCAACCAGAGGAAAGAATATATAGATTCCAGCAACTGGTTTGACGTCCACTTTGCCTTTCAGTTAGGTGGTGTCCCCTTTCCAGTCAACCTAAGGCTACTAAGAAAGGCTAAATACATCCACTGCTGCCCTCTGCTGTTTAAAATTTTAGAAAGACCTGTACATTCAGTTAGTCTCACAAGAGACAGTGAAATTACCTACAGAAACAGGCTGAGCATGGTTTCTTGTACTGCAAGACTTCATAGGTGGGCATGCAATGTTCTTAGATGTCCCACATGAGATAATATTTGTAAACAGTAATCTCACTGTTTATCAAGTACCTACTATTACCAGGCATCATGTAAGTATATGTGTGGATGTATATACATATACCTATATGTATATAGTTTACTTATATTACCTTCCAAGGTACATTTTCTTGCTTCTTACAGGTGAGGAAGATGTACCTGAGAGAGGTAAAAATAACTCGCCATATGTCACACAGCTAACAAGAGGTACCAAAAACTACCTGAATTTAGGTCTTTCTAACATCCAAGCCAGCAATACCCACTACACCACTAATGAACTGCCTAACAATGCCTGATATCTAGTAAGTATTCAATAAATATTAGTTCTCTTCCATCATCATGGCATTTTGACATCATTTTCCTATCTCCTGCTAGATTTGTATTAAATAAAGCAGTTGGTATAATATGCCAAAATAAGATACATTTTATGATTGGTGACATCCATATAAAGTCTCTGGTTTGCCCCTCATCATGTGTTAATATATAAGTAAATCTCTGATCTTTTTAATCATTCAGGAATCAAAGGTACAAATTAGGAGGAGCCTGATGTCAAAGCCAAGGAAGGTTCTTTATTGGCAAGTATGTGGTTCTGGGAAAACATTTGCCAACATGCATTCCTGGAGCCTGTGGCACATGTCTTGACATACTCAACCAGCGACGAGAAGACACTGATGATGATGCAATGGCAGATGGCAGAGAGTAATGAGAGAGGACTGGTCAACTGAGGAAGAGGCACTGGCAGAGGCAGCAAAGAGGCTTGGTGCTTGCGACAATGCTGTAGCTTAACAAGAAAACAGGTTGTACCTTCACAGCCACGCTCGATCTGTCCACTCCTATGGAGCGCATCATTGATGAGGTCTGGCAGACGCCCATTCAAGTCCACTGATGCCAAACAGCCCTGAAAGCCATCTCGGGAGGCCACAAGCTTTGGGAGGTTACTGTACATTCCTTGGGCCAAGCCAGCCATGTAGAGGTCACCTAGAAGGGAAAGTAAGTACCAAAAGACAATGAGTAAAGGGTGTGGCAACCATGTCAACTAATGCTAATGCACTTTAGATTATTTATTAGATAATGACAATATAGCTGGCTTGAATAAAATAACTAGTGTTTCTAAAATGTAAAAAGAAAAAAAATAGTATTACTATATGTTGTTCACCCTAGACGTGCCATCTCACAAATGTTAATCACCAGAGATGAAGTAAAGATTAACAACATTTTCAACAAATGACCATCTATTGAGTGTGTTTTTATGTGCTTGTTGCCAATAAACTGCTGAGGGTTTGACAGACATTCCATCAAAACTCCTAACAACCCATAAATGGAGGAACGATTGTTATCCTCATTTTGCAAGAGAAGTATATGTAAGCTCGTAAGCTGAATGAGGCTTAGAAACTTCACCAGTATTATCCAGGTCATATGTGATTCAGCAGAAATTCCAAAGCCTGTATTTCTTTATCTGCATTAATGCCCCTCCCACATTCTGATCTTTATTACCACATCACTTAGCCCCCAATTTAAGATACTCCCAAGATTATCAGAAAAAGGGAACTATTCCTAGTCTATGTAAAAATGTAGTAAATTGCATTATGATAAAATTCAACATTGTTAAGATAAACTATGACTCCCATATGGCCAACCATGATTTGAGTCCTGGATCCAGGAATTTGAAAATAACACTGGGCATGTGTGTGTGCGTGTGTGTGTGTGTATGTGCATGCCTAAAATCCCAAGAGGAAAATGGAGAAGAAATTGGGGCATGGTCATCCCCCTTGGGGGGTGACTTTTCATTTTCCCTCTTACTGTTTGTCTCTGGTATGGCAAAAACCTAATAAATAAATAAATAAACAAATAGGTGTGCATGATATATGAAAAATGCATTGCACCCCTAACCTGTAGATTGCCTCTGGAAACATCCTTTCTATCATAAGAAATGCCCTAAGAAGAATAAAATTCTTCTTTACAAGATGTATCTTTTTTTTTTAAACTAATAAGCTTCAAGCATTTTAATTTTACTAATGAAAAAGCATTTAATTCTGTTCGTAGTTTGTACTTTCAACCTCCTAAAACAAAGTCAAAGAGAATGAACGAATAGTCATATTAATTATGCATTATGATATACTTTTTAGTTATAATTTAAAATGTCTTTTTTTACTTATAAAAAATTATTTTATCCATTCGGTCACAGTACATCACCACAACTCATAAAGTAAATTTTCCCAAGAAGAATACACTGCAAGTTGTACCTTTCAAATCCAGATTTTTGGCACCGTTGATCACCTGAGTGACTACTTTGGTGTCCACTTTCAGGCTGTGGGTATTACTGTTGTCCCGAGTAATGACGACGTTGTGCCACTGGTTATCATTCAAGGGACGGTCACTGTTGCCTTTGATCACATTGGGACCATTTCCAAGATCAAACACATAGTGTATATACCTGTGAGGAGTAACAATCAGGAAACTGGGATTCCCTGAAGTGATTAATAGCAATGTGTGTGTAAGTGGCATAGGGGGCTTCCAATCCCACATGCTAAGCTGGAATAATGCATGAATAATTTGAGCTGGATTTACAGTTAAAGAATAGATAGATCCTGTTCTATCATACTTTATTTCCATACTCATGGAGTCTTAGTTCTTTAGCACTATCCAGAACCAAAGTAAGCAGGTGGCATGCTACAAAACACTGGACGGTGATATATACACTCACAATCAGAGATCTACCACTTTTCCTTTTTCTTTTTTATTGTTTTTCCATTCATGTAATAAAATATATTGAATCTGATTATCACACAATGTGCCTGCTTTGAGAAATCATGCTATATTCCACAAGTTGTATCTGATATGATTAACTATATCAGAATTATAAAATACATTGTAAAAATGTCTTAAAGTAAAGGGTAGCTATTAAGAATTGGTGTATGTTCAGTTACTGTAGGAGTAAAATTTCTATATTTCATTTACCGGTATAAATTTAGTTGTTGCAGTTAGTTTTACTCAAGATACAAAACACATACTTCTATTGCCCTCTTTTACAAAAATAAAGTTTTCTTTTTCTCTTTTGTTTGAAAGGCCTTGTTTTTTTTCTTTTAAAAAAAAAGTTTAATATTGTTGAGTTAGCAGAAGATCTTTACATAAATTCATGAATCTCTCTCCTTTCCAACCTTAATCATTTTGTGGATTTTTCAATTAATGAGGATGTTAGTATGTATCAGGAACAAAGGATAATAGAATGAACTTTTCCCCACATATTTTATGTAGAGCTTTAGCAAAGATACCCAGTATAAATTATGAACTTCCTTCCACTTACCCCTTGACCAGCTCAACAGCAATGAAGTCATTGCCATCGCCACTGTTGAAGAGAATGAAGCCATCAGCTGAGGTGGTCTTGAACTGGAAGAAGAGGTGCATGGAGGTGTAAGCCTGAAGGGTGGCGAGGCTCAGGTAGCTGCTCTTGGTCTTAAAGGTGACAGGGTCAGCGATGATGTTCCTCAGTCCAAAACGAGCCTTTAGCTCACAGTAATCAATGTCACCATTTTTGCACAAGTCAATGTAGAGCAGGCCATTAAACATGAGGCTCTGCAGGTGGCCAATGAAACTGGAGGGGACAACGGAGATGTACCGTTTCTCAGTCATGATTCCTGTTTCAATATTGTGGAACTCCAGGCGAGTATGGTCTCCCACCATTGTACCTATGAAAATCACAAATGAGGTTCACACAGGAAAAGGAACCAACCAGGTTTGCTCCAGCGCTCTTAGTATATATCTTTTAGGCATAACTTGTCCCCACACTAAATATTCTGTTTACTTGAGTCAGTTGGAGAAAACAAACTATTCAATATGGTTTATACCTGACTTGGCCTCACAGGGAGCTGAGTACTAGCACAGCTCAAATTGTATGACCCACAATCTTTGTTCTCCTGCAGCTGCTTAGAGACCCCATCATTTAAAACAAAATGAAATAATGAGTAACCTATGTTAAAAGAGAAAATCTCAACAGCAGTTAGCATAATGGGTATGTCACTGGACTCCCATGTAGTTGACCATGTTTCAAGTCCCATACCCGGTGGCTTAAACTCACACCAGGTGTGTGTGCATGCATGCCCAAGATCCTGAGAGGAGAATGGAGGAGAAGGGATTGTGGTGTGGCCATCCCCCCTGGGGATGATTTCTCGCTTCCTGTCTCTCTGTCTCTCTCTGTCTTTCTGGCAAGCACATGCACCCTATAGCAAAAACTTCTCAAAAAAAAAAAAAAGAAAGAGAAAATTCTTCATTTTTTTCTCTTTAGAAAAATAATTGGTTACTAACGAATACTGTAAGAAGGAAGGCCTTCGTTTCCTCTACCCCTTGTAAAGATACAACAGCAAACCTTGGGCACTTACAAATATTTCTTGCTGTAATAACCAACCACCTTGTACTTGTAGAAAAGGTTCTATTGCAGAACATCTTTGATTTCTCTTGCCCAGCAACTATTGCGCTTTCTGTTACCACCACCTGATCCTCATTTGGGAAGCTGCCCTCCCTCCATGACCTTGAAACCATCCGACCTGGATGAATCTGACCTTAATCAAGCTACTCAGGCTGCACCACTCAACATTTTTATCCTTCTAACCATAGATTCTGGTCTAAGAACTAAAAAATGGTCTTTAAACTTCAGCGTGCATCAGAATCACCTGGAAGCCAGACTGCACTCTCAGTTTACGATTCAAAAGTCTGGGATGAGACCTGAGAATCTGCATTTTCCCTTTTAATTTGCCAGAGGGTATGTGAACTCTTTGGAGAGGGATACAGAGAGAGGAGAGAGAGAGAAATCAAGAAAGCACCCCATATGGAAGATGGTCAAGTCATAATTCCTTCTTGTTCATTTCTCCCTTCCCAGCCTCTGGAGTGGGACTCGAATTGCATGGTCGGCTATGTGAGATCTGGTCATCTTAGCCTCCATGCTGCTCCTGCATTTCTAACAAGTTTGTAGCTGATGATTATGTGGCTGACCTGGGGACCACCCTTAGAACCACTGGAATGCCAGCAACCCAAGCCATCCAGTGAATTCGGCTCTACAGGTTTGCTGGCTTACTAGTGAAAACAGCTTCATTGGAAGCAACGCTTGCTCCAGGGCTTGAGACCTTGTGATAATGAGAAGAACTGAGCCCCTCTTGAAGAGGCCACTAACCCAAAGTGGAAAGGAATAGTTTCTCTGTGTTGACCTCATTTAGGTCATGATCTAGCCATGCAACTCTGGGTATTTTCCAATTTTTTTTTTATTTACTTATTGAGAGGGAACAAGAGAGACATCATCAACAGGATATCTTGACCCTTCCCTCATCCTCATCCTCATCTTCTCAGTCAGCCAGGCTCTTAGGTATGCATATACACAAGCCTGGTACAACTTAAGCCAGGAATTGAACCCTAATCATCCATATAACATCTAGCATTGCAAAGCAGTGGCTACCATTATACCACTATCCCTGGGCCAACTCTAAACTTTTTTTAAAACTAACAGACTCTCTTTTATGCTTAGAACATTTGAGTTGGGTTTCTGATCATTGCAAATAGCTCTCCAGCTGATACTAATTAACTATCAGGCCTTTAATCACCAATTTTACCTCATGGTGAGTACCCAGGGCAGAGGTGATGAAGAGAACTTGAAATAGAGAGACTGAAACTCTTTAAGAAGAAGCAAAAGCAAAAAGCAAAAAAAAATCATTATTATGAACAGAGAAGAAATTGGTTCCTTCAACATTTATAAAGAAAATTTATAGTAAAACGTAACAAACCATCTAATGCCAAGTGCTAATGCCAAGTGTTAAAAGGAGAGAAAAGGGAATTCCCTCTTCCTGCCCATTTTAAGAGATTTTTTTTGCTACCTTCCTGCCCTTTTTAACTTCCAAGCTTAAGAAGCTCTGCTAATGGGACCAGTAGATGGTGTAATGGTTGCATCGCTGGTCTTCCACAGCGTCAACCATGTTTTTTTTTTTTTTTGAGAGGTTTTCGCTATAGGGTGCGTGCACTCGCTAGACAGACAGAGAGAGACATAGAGACAGAAAGCGAGAAATCACCCCCCAGGGGGGATGGTCACGCTGCAATCCCTTCTCCTCCATTCTCCTCTCGGGATCTTGGGCACACACGCACACGCACCCGGCATGAGTTTAAGCCACCAGGTCCGGGACGTGAACCGCGGTCGACTACATGGGAGTCCAGCAACATAGCCATTACGCTAACTGCTGGTTCTCGGGTCGACCATGTTTTGAGGCCAGAACCTGGTGGCTTAAAACTCATGCCGGATATGTGTGAATGTGTGTCCATAATCCCTAGAGGAGAATAGGGGAGAAAGGATTGCAGCATGGGGTGGGGTGATTTCTTGCTTTCTGTCTCTCTCTGTCTCTAAGGCAAGCACATGTGCCTATAGCAAAAACCTCTCAAAAAAAAAAAGCACTGCTACCAAGACACTACTAGCATCTCTTAATCCTCCTTGTGTACAATTTTCCAGAAGATAGACATAATATGAAATATTATAATAATCTGGAAAGAGATTCTGTGTGCATAGGGCTCAGTCCCTATAGCTTTCTCTTGTCTCTGTAGCAGCCAGCAGCCTTCAGGAGACACCAGTGCTGCCCTACCCATTCAGAGCTGAGTGCTGGGGAGCAAGCCTTGTTTCATTGGTGAATGTGCCTGCTCAGTCCAGACGTAGTACTTCAATGGGCAATTTGATCTAACTCTACTTTAGTGTCAGTGTGATCAATAATGAAAATGCTATTTCATTTCCATCTGCTTCTTTTGTTTGTCTATTGGCTCAGAACTTAAATAACAAAAAGGGAGGTATTTTAAAGTTGGGTACTCAACCTTCAGTATCTTGGAGAGTCAACAAGATCATACCCTTCGGTACTCAATGTATGTGTGTGTGTGTGTGTGTGTGTATATATATATGGGTTTTTTTTTTTGGTTTTTTTTTGAGAGATTTTTGCTGTAGGGTGTGCACGTTCACCTGAAAGAGAGAAAAAGAGACAGACAGCGAGAAATCACCCTCCCCAAAGGGATGACCATGCCACAATCACTTCTCCTCCATTCTCCTCTTGGGACCTTGGGCACACATGCACACACGCCTGGTGTGAGTTTAAGCCACTGGGTCCAGGACTCGAACTGCAGTCAACTACATGGGAGTCCAGCAACATAGCCATTACGCCAACTGCTGGTCCCTGGGTACTCAACATTAATTTCTTCTCTTTAGGAGCAAATTCAGACCTAATTCAAGTAATCACTCATAAACACAAAAATCAGATTTCTGGACTAGCAGGTAGCATTGTGGTTAAGTGGTGGACTCCCACATGCCTGACCATGGTTCAAGTCCTGGACCTGGTAGCTTGAAAATCATGCTGAGCACATGTGCGTGAGTGTCCAAAAGCCCAAGAGGAGATCAGAGGAGAAGGGATTGTGGTGTGGCCATCCCCCCTAGGGGTGATATCTCATTTTTCCTCTCACTGTCTCTCTCTGGCAAATGCACACACCCCATGGCAAAAACCTTAAAAACAAAAAAAGACTTCTACTTTATAAACTTTATAAACTTTGACATATAGTGACAAATTATTCTCTTAATATAAGCAAAAATAAAATAATGGTGTTAGTTTAAATATTAAATTGTAGTAGAACAGAAATCAAAATGCAACATAAATCTGCTAACAAATAACCAGGAAAAAGAATTACTGTATACAATTACTTAGTATTGAAAATTGGACTGGTCACAAAAATGCAAAGTATCGACAGCAAGCCTCAATTTACATTAAGTGACTGAAATAAACACTCAATGTCAATTTGGCTATTGCTGTACTAGGGCTATGGATTTTTGCTGGGGGAGGATATGGAGGGCACAGAGGAGCTGCAGTATGATGATGCTGGTAGGTAAAGCACTGTAACCACCATCACCTGCCGTTGTTACAGTAACATTTGAGAGATTATTATCTTCCTTTGGAGGTAAGAATGATTGGTTTACAAAAGTTAAGCAATTTGATCTTGACCGAGCCTCTTATAGAACCCAGGTGTTCCAGTTCCAAAGTCTATATCCTTAATTTGAGATCTATACTGTCTTTGGAAATAAAGACTCAACACATTCCTCACATCAATTGCCCAAGAAAAGCAGTAGATGAAATTTAACTGGGGAAAATCTCCATGCAGAAGCTATACTGTAATGGGTTCACACTTCTTCCCGGTGATCAAGTATAATGTCGTTGCATCTAATGCATGGCTAATACACTCAGCACTTTTCCCAAAACGGCCCTGGCTGCCTTGGCTCCTATTCGCTTACTCATTTCCATACTTCTCAGTCAGCCAACCAGCAAGCCACAGACCAGCCCTCATAAAACCCAATAATACACATTTATGAAAAATAAGGCCGGGATCAAACAGTAACTTCCCATGGGGCAATAGTATATGTGGATGAGCATGTAGACCTTGGGACTGCACTGCTGGGTTTGCATTCTACCTTCATGACTTCTTCACTGGGTTACCTTTAGGGAGTGACCTAACTTTATGCCTCAGTTTCCCATCTGTGAAACAGATACGAAGTTATCAGGATTAAACATATTCATCCATAAAAACAATACTTAGAATAGTGCCTAGGGTTTAAATTGTTAGCTACTACTAATTATGTATTATTTGTTTAGTTCTCTTTTCTGAAATGTTTTAATCACTTTAGGGTTATTTCACTTATTATTTTTCTCTCTTTTATTAGAACATGAGCCCTTCTAACTAGAAACCCGTTTCTTGCCTCTTCTCTATATCCTGTATTGATTAGAAGGGGGTTCTGAGCATGGCAAATATCCCTAACCTGTCTGGGGAAAGAGCTTATATTTGAGATGTTTGCTTTGGGGTCAGAATTTAGATCATCACCACTTCTGCACATAACATTGCTGGCCAACCCTAAGAGCTTAGCAAAAAATAATGGGAAAGGCTTGAGGTCCTGTGACTCCCAGATAGAGGAGAAGAAGTGACGAAAGTGAAAGCTCAGGAAGATTGTCACTTTGTGCCCACCGTTCTCTAACTCCGCTGGCCCCATATTCTTTTCTCCAGGGTAACAGCATATTTCAAAAGTGTGTGCTGTGAAGTACTTTTTTAAAAAAAATAAAGTTTCTAGAGCCAACTACATTTGGCAAATATTGCATACATATCAGTGATTAGCAAGGCACATTGGCCTATTACAGATTCCTAATAAAATTTTGCAGTAAAGAATTCCACTTTATTTTGCTTTGTTTAACATTTTCTTTAGCTTTGTTTAACATTTTCTAACCCTATTTTTTAAAATTAATCTTTTTATACGTATTTATTTGGTCTATGAATGAGAGAGACAGGGGTGAAGGCAGAAAGAGGGAGAAAGAAAACACCTCCAACAAGGCCTTGGCATTGCATCCCACTCCCAGCTTCAGCCATCTTGGATCGTGGATACACACGTGCCAGGCATACTCAAGGAGGTCTCCATATACAAACTGGAAACCTTCTCATGAAGGTCAGTCTCTTCTCTTACTGCTTCACTACATGTCTGGCCCCAGACAAGTTTTTTATTAACACAAGAAACAAGTTTTAGATGGAAAACTTTGGAAAATTACTTCGTATGTGCTGTGTGGGGGTGAAAGAGGGACATGTCAACATGGACCAATGGACCAGAGTAGTCAAAAAGAGGGTACTTTCTGTATCAGCAAGAAGTCCTGGGTGCATGGGTGGTTCCTGCATTATCAGGCCCCTCTTCTGAGGAGTATAACGCAATCATTGGATGTACTCTTAATAATAGAAATCCAGCTCAGTCGATCAATATTAGCTGTCAACTGAACATAATAATCCTTTCCTAAGAACACAATTATGTAACAATAAATGAGAAACACCAGGTTAAGAAATATTTCTTTCCTTGCATTTGATTTCTTGAGTCTGACCTATTCTTTGCATCATTTCTACAAACTACTTGAAAATCTGGCACGCTAGGGGACCCTAAACAGCATGAGAGAGATTACTAAATAAGCCAGTAGGATGCTACTTAATAACCTGGGCACTATGTGGTATTTTAGTTTCATTGCTGGATTTTATGACTTCTGTGAACTAAAAATGCACATTCCCAAACCCCTTATCACTGTGCAAAGCAATCCTAGGTTATAGCTCATAAGAAAAATCACTCATCGATCTTTCCCTCTCACAAATTCCTTGATTCTCCTGACTGCTTTCTCCCATCAGCAGTGAAGTAGAAGGGAAGGCTAAAATGAAAGAGCTTCATTAATTTCAAATATCAAATTGCTGGATGACTTGAGCATTCCATGGCTTTGTTCTGCTTCTTAAGTATTAGTAGCAAGAGAAAGCATGGCTTATAATTACCTTTATTTCAAAGTTTCTATAAAAGAATAATGACCGAGAGTGAGAGAATACGCATTACAATATCCTGAGTGTTGCCATTCTTTATGACTATGCTTTCAGGGCATCTATTTTCCAAGGGAAATAAAAGGAATCCACTGTCCTGGGAGACTGGCATGAGGCTGCCACCTAGTGGCTACTCTTCAAAACACACTGCCAATCAGGTTACCCCTGGTTTAAGAGGACCAAGCTGAAAGGATTTAAGGAGCATTCCTCTTTTAACATTAATATGCTATACATCATTACAGTATACAAAATGAAGTTTTCATCCAAAATACATTGTCTGTTGGCTCAATCAAGTACATCAACATATGTGTTATCAACAAACAATTTTCCATTTCTTTTTTTTTTTTCCATCCAGAGTACACTGTATATTGTCTCAATCAAGCATATCAACAAACATGTTATTATTAGCAAGTGATCTTCCATTTCTTGTTTTCTGTATGTTTTGCTTTTTTCCCCACCTACTGCCTTTGCAGGCTCCTGTCAGCACTAACAGCTCATGGAGACTTCTTGAATACTTAATCAGGCTGACCGTGGTGGGTTCCAAACAGTACGAGTATTTTTACATCCCTTTTTCCGCATTCATTTTACAAAATTAAGCTACTCTTCAGGCATGTACAACATAACCTTGCCTCTCACTCCTCAGCTAGGTCTACGTAGATTGGAGTGTTTGAGATAGTTTTGGTTCTGCTTGCCTTCATTTTGTTGTTGTCGTTGTTTTTGGTTATTTTTGTGTGTGGGGGGGAGAGGGTGGATGTTGCATTTTTGACTCTCAAAATGTATTCCCCACCTCTCCTCAATCCATTCCATTATATTTTTCCTGTATTGTAAAATAAACCATTTTCCTATGATGGATTGTGAAGTACAGTAAGCAATTTGATTTTGTGGCATTACACACGTGTGGGTTTGGAACTTAATTACACAAACTCTAAGTGTCATGTTCCCCGTTCTGTACAATGACAATAAGATCATTTACCTTGAAAGGCTACAGTGAATTACAGAAGGTTAAAGAAAATGATATATGTGAAATAGTTAACGCCATATCTCATGCCTACTCAGCACTGGATATGAGCAGGCAGCCTTTTTTCTATCCACCAGCTGTTTTTCTCTACACACACAAATACATGTACAACTACATGTAAATTCCTACATGCCTTACTATAATTCTTGGGTCCAGAAGTATAGATGTTCAAGCTCATGAATATAAAATTAAATTTTAGGACCTGAAATTGCAGAGCAGTCACGCTAGAAAGGAAAGACATTGGAAATAATAGAATTTTATGTTTAAAAATAAAAAATGAGGAAAGAGTTTAGTCTACCTATCCTGAAGGCATAAAGCATTTTAGTGGCTGTGATTGTATTAAACCCCAGGGCTCCTCATTCTAACCTAGCTGCCTTACTCAAAGAAGAAAGGGTAAAGTTGGCTTAGCTTTGACAAGGCTCAGAATTGGTAAGTTTCCCAGTATTCTGCAGAGAGCTAATGTCAGAGCTGAGAGTTGACGTCAACAGCGTTGCATGTAGTATCTGTGCTGCCCGAGTTTTCATTTCCCATAGTGACAAGAATTCTGATTAATAGACATGTACTTCTCTGGAATAATAGTGTTTATACTTGCAGGATGCAGCATAGATGATGGCATTTGAAGAAGCCCTCTCTTCTCTACCGTAGACCTCACTGGTCACACGCAGCCATCACAGGCTGGCTGAAGATCTAGGTTCATAAACCACTGCAATGTCTTCATTCTAAATTGGTTATTTTCTCTTCAGAGTGACAATCTTACCACTCAAGGTAGAATCTCATCAGATATCTATTTTTAAATAACAGAATCCTGGTTTGATCTACTTGTGGGTAGTTGGAAAAGTCATGATACATTTTTGCATAGAAAAACACATCATGACTTTTCCAACAATCTAATAGATTGATTCCTGATTTGAGGAAACAGGAATCTCTTGCACTTTTTTTTTTTTTTTATCCTTTACAATTCTAGCACACTGCTGACATTAGCAGGCTTTCAGAATATGCTTATTGGTTGTGTGTGGCTCCAGATGTTGCTTTATGTAAAATCGATTCATTTATGTGTTCTTTGTACTCCTAAATGTAAATTCCACCAGGCTGAGGATTTGCCTGTTTATCACCATGATCCCAGTGCCTTCTAAGACACTGATTGGTACAGAATATTCAACTAATAATAATTAAAAGAATAATAAATTAAAACAAACAGTCCTTAGCACCTTGTAAGTATCATGCATTATTCTAGGTGTTTACTTTTACCTGTAACATTCTGAGTTTCTGGTTTCCCCATCTCCCTTTACTAGAGAATGACTCAGTCACTGAGGGAGAAAACTGGCATATAGAAGGATGATTAATCAGTGAGTTTTGAATGCTCGAATAATAGAAAGATCTGCAGGACCCTACATCTGTTCTCCACGCACGTAACTGTACGCCTCAGGAGAGAGACCCATAAATATACAATCACAGTAGTAGGTAAGTTCTATAATACAGATCCATGAAAAGGAATGATGAAAGTGCCAAGAAAGACCTTCTTACCCTTGTCTGAGTTTGGCAACAGAGGATAGGCTATGTGACTTCTCTTAAGCAAAATACAAAGTTCTATAAAACTAACATTGCTCACTGCAAGACCAGGAAGACTATGCAAATAGAGGGACACTTTTCAGCCTAGTTATACTCACCCTCGGCCACATCATCATCCACAGTTAACTTAAGGCTTTTTCCTCTCCGCACCACCCGGACGGTGTGCCACTCGTTGTCATTGAGCTTCTGCCCTGCATACAGGGTCTCAGGTCCTTTGCCTAAAGATGGTGGTAAGGTCCAAAATTAGAAGCAATTCTCAAAATAGGGCTCATGCATCAGGGTTGTCAAAGCCACACTGGTGCACATGACTTAGCAGGACTCAAGGAAGCCTGTCTCCTCAATGCTCACCCTAGTTTCACTGATCCAGCTGGGTGCTTTATCATAGTCCCAAATGCAAACATCTCAATTTAAATGTTAAAGATAATAAAACTGCAATGAAAAAGTAAGTGTTCCCCTTTTTAGGAACAAAGATTTTAAACACCAATGGCAGTAAGTGAACATTTACAGGAAACAATAGTTAAGCGTCCTTTATGTCTCACAGTCTTAGAATTTAGATGAACTACTTGAAGAGACAAGAAATTAATACATATTTTTTAAGATCATTTGGTTATTTAGGCATACTACACCAGTCTGGCTTTTAGGGAATATCCTCCAATTGGATGAGAAAAGAACTCTGCACATAGGCTGCCTTAACTTAACATGTCCATTATCCCAAAGTCCCAACGGAATTCAGTGACCACAAAAATCACAACAGTAAACATCACCATAGTAATAATCTCAAGGTTTAAGCCCCACTACAAATAATGCTCCTGAAGGGAATGTGAGAGGCCCTCAACTTATCTCATTGTTCATCCTCCTCCAAAAAGATCCAAAGATTTAAAAAGTGAAATAATATAAACTTCCAACATTGACCCTAGTTAGGGCAAAAGAACTTTAAGTAGAAAGTACCACCAAATGAAGAAATAAAAATTATCTCAAGAGATCCATGCTCAAGATGTTCAAAGTGAAGTTCAAGTGCTCCTATGAAGAATCAGGAGCAACCAAACATATTATATTTAAGTGCAAAAGATGGCAAGATAGAGAGACACTGAGGCATTTGAACAACCCACTTAATGGGGCGGGGGAGGAATGTCATGTTGCTCTAGAATGTGTCTGGTCATTGACCCAGATATAAATTTAAAAGACAAAGAAGATTGCTTAGATCTACAAAACTTAGGTCAACTTGCTCTTTCTAAATGGGGAGCTGAGTCCATGCAGAAAGGGTCGAATGAAATACTTTCTGAATTAGTCAATCAATATGGAAAGCTAGTCTCTGAAAATGACTAGGAAAAAAAAGATGAGATATATAAGTGGCCAATCTATCCCTATGGATAGCATGCAGCTGAAATATTTTAGAAGGCCAAATACTTCTCTACCACGCCTACTGGATACAGTATCCGGGAGACAGTAGGTGATTTCATAAGTGCTGGTTGAATAACTAATGTCTATTTTAAGTTTGATTTCTTTGGTAACCATTGATTAAGTTTAGGACACTTTTATCTAAGTAATTCTGAAACCATTATCATTTAACTTTCACTAGCCAGTCTCTCTCCTCCTCCACTTCTAAGTCTGATGGTATCATACTATTCAAGGGAAAACTAAAAATATTGCCTGAGTAAAAATCACTACATAATTTTAAAGTATAGCTTTTAATTGAGTAATTATTCAAAAGTAACCCTATTTTCTGCTGTCTATAAGAGTTATGGTAGTAGTTGAAGGTTGGAGAGAATTCTCTTATGAGACAGACACTTTCAAAGTGAAGCGACTTCTTTTAATTACAGCATATGCAGGAAATAATTTGTATTTTAAAAATTTCAGAATGTATCCAAAGCCCAAGAGCAGTCCAAATTGACAAGAATCTTGAGCATTAGTGGGGCCGAATGTCTTCAAAAGTGAGTGGTGATGGTATGAGATTAATGAATCTCAAAAAAAAAAAATCTACAATAAACCATTTTGTATGCAACCCTCAGTTCTTTAACTTTGTGAGTAGGCTTTGTCTTTAATGTTATCTAAATTTTATGCATTACAACAGGATTGTCCCTATGTTTCCACTCATTAGATAGCACTCTTCATTATCTCATTAAATCCAGGCCTAAGATTGATGTAGCCGTCGCCTTTACAACAGCAAGCTGTGAGGGCATTGGAGGAAAACGGACCACATCATGTGGATACTTTATAACCACAACAGATGTTCTTGGAAAAAACAAATCTGCCTTTGTTTTTTTATGTTTTTATCCTCTTTATTCTACATGCAAATGCTCCAATAAGAAAGAAGAAAGTAGAGAAAGATGTGGAGAATGCTGGCGAGGGTGGCAGAACTGTTACAAACACAGGCTATTTAAAACCTCTCCTATAAGGTACATCTGTTCTTGAGGTAATGTTTGCACATCACTTAATTTTTATGATTAGGGACAAGATAAGAGACAGAATGACTCATACAAACACAGTCAGTTTGGGGACATTGCTACATCAGTGTCACATTTGCTATGGAAATGTAAAACAACTTTATCTCAGCCCAATGTGTTTTAAAGGATAGTAATGTTCTCCAGGTACTTCACTGTTAATGGTGTCCTTGAAATGTCCATGGTAGTCAGATTCGGATGCAAATATTTAACTGTCCATTTGATGAAAATTGTAGAATATTCTAAATTCTAGACTAAAACTGAGAAAAAATAAGGGAAAGTTTTCATGCCTTACTATCTAGCTACATGCAATACTTCCAATACAGCAATGCTTATTGGATAGAAAATATTCACACCTATCTCATTAAAACAGCAAAGGAGAGGACCAGCAGGTAGTGTGGTAGTTAAAGCGCTGGATCCCACATGGAAAACTCCGTAGCTCTAGGCCTGACCCTGCAGCTTAAAAAAACATGCTGGGCGCCTGTAAATTTGAGTCCAAAATCCCAAGGGGAAAATGGAGGAGAAAAAATTGCAGCATGGCCATTCACCACACCCCCACCTCCCTGGGGTGATTTCTCACTTTCCCTCTCTCTCTCTCTGTGGCAAGCACATGCATCCGATGAGAGAGAGGAAAAAAAAAAAAAAAAGCAGAGGATATTCCATATTCATTTTCAAACAATATATAAACACATCTCAATGAGCCTTTACAAAATCTCCAGAAGTGGAGAGTCAATAGCATTTATCCTTAATCAAACCAAAGGTCAACTCGTTCTACTAGAGAAAAAGTGATGTTTAATCTCAGCTGGAAATCTAAGTAAATAGAGGGGAGGGGAACATCCAACTTGTAGCCCAGGCACAGCATGGAAGGTGTAATTGACATAGGATGCAGACAAGAGCTGAAGGTTGACACTTATGTGTTCAGGGTGACTAAGAAAGACCTCCTTAGGCAGATTCAAGCGAAAAGCCAGTAAAGTGGACCTGTGATACAAGGAATGTAAAAAGTTCTTCACTGTGAGCCAGCCCTTTGACCAAGTGGTTAGGGGAGCCAGATTTCATGTGGCCAACCATAAGGCTTGAGTCCCAGACCCGGCAGCATGAGGGACATGCTGGGCGTATATGCATGCATGCCCAAAGTCCCCAAAGAAATTTAAGAAAAGAGATTGCAGCATAACCCTGCCTCATTAGGGAGTGCTTTCTTATCTTCCTCTGACTCTGTCTCTCTCTGGAGAGTGCACACATGCTCTGGCAAATTGAGAAAAAGAAAAACAAGAGTTCTTCAGTAAGTAAAGGATGATGCAGATATAAAGAAGAAAAAGAAAAATCATTTTTAAAAGTTGACATTTAAATTGATTTGGTAGAAATTTAGAAATAAAAAGTTATAACCATTGACTTTTGTGCATCATCCTTTTACTTTTTAATAACTAAGAAAATTCTGATCAGCCACTATATATATATTAGATGTCTTTTTCTTTGTTTATAGTCTATGTACTGAATATTGATCATAAAAGTCATTCGATTCTTTTTAGGCTGCTTAGATCATCATTCTTGGATCTAAATAAAGAAAATTAAAATATAACCTGACACCCATCATTTAATTTCTCAAGTAGTGACACCTACTCTTGGAATAATGAAACAAAGTCACAACAATGATTTCTAGGATGCAGAAGTTTGTTAACTTGGAGTGTTGAACTGCTTATTTTTGTAGAACAGAAAGCTTTCAGACTTCTCTTGGGTAGTACACTCAGTCTAATCTCACTGCAAAATCACTTAGCACCATCTTTTGAAGGAAGGTTTTCTGTCACAGAAGATGGTCTAATTTTCTGATGAATGTGGAATAGAGAACATGATATTGTGCATGAAATGCACTGACCACATTGTTCCCTTGTCCTATCTGCAATTAGTCTATGGATGCCCTCTTTCTTTAGGAAGTCAGAACTAACAATAAAATAAAAATGAAATGCTAGGAGCTAAGCTCTCTTTGAGAGAAAAGTCATTGCTGATTTCTTGGAGGAAGATGACACTCAGATATTAGCATTTTTTTTTTCTTTTGGCAGAGAAAGAATGAAAGTGTAGGGCAAAAATCTATATTTGAGCATGGCTAAAGGCACATACCTTCACAAAGTGGACCATAGATTTTAATTACTTTAATCTTTTTTAGGCTGTTTGTTTTTTAATACAGACTGTTCATATTACATGAATTTTTTTATTCCCCCCAGGAGCAATATAAACAACAAAATAACAAGTTATCCCCAATATACATTTGTTTATCAATATATTTCTAAACTCTGACCAAACCTAAACCAGATGGTTTTGCTCATATGCAGGGAGTAGAAATTCCTTCCATCTTCTACAAAACACTATTTTCAAAAATGGATAGGGAGAATTAGGAAACTTTTTGCTTGGGTGGGGTATAGGGGACCAGTGGAGTAATACTTATACCATAATCACTTTTCTTTAACAGATCTTCTTTCTATTTGTGGAAAAGGGAAAAGGGACAGTGACTTGATTTCTCTTGAAACTATCTTTCCCATAAACCACAGTTTCTACATAGTACATAAACTATTACAGATTTACCCCTTTGGGAAAGGTATAGGGAA